AGTGAGATCCAATCAAATGTTAATACGGGTAATTTCCAAATACTTTTTTTCTGCCCCTTTGCACAATATTGACTGGACTGATATTTCAGTCGCTTAAAATTCAATCTAACGAAACTCTACGACGAGACAATTACAATTCTTATTAGGAAGCCGATAATTAATAATTTCCCTATTGTCATCCAAATATCGTAAAACGGTCGTTCTCCGCAGCCTTATCAACCTGGTCGGTAACTCATGCATTTGTCGCAATGAAATCCTTCGTGCACTCTCGAAGATTGCAATCAATAAATTTCACGAGGTACATACAATTTCGGACAATTGCGGATTAATTAATCTTAATTGTTCCGATTGATTGGCAATCGGAGTTAAACAAGGAATCGAAGCCGAACGTAGCTGTTGTGAAAATTCGAGTATTTGAGTAAACTAAGTCATTTAAGCACACAGATGAGGACAAATAAGTAAATTATCAGATTATGATAAATATATAATTGAACGCAATTTGGTTCTGAAGTATTGGTAAAATTGATAATTTTTCAATGTTAATTCTCTTTAACTGTCTTATTTTAATATGAAAGTTAATGATTTATTGCTTGGAAACATTTATATTGGCGACTTGCAGAATAAATTAAAACTTTTCGCGTATCCTTTATAACTATAAAAGTGAAGGCACGTCTGGCTAATATTACGTTACGAAATTGAAATCGATCATCAATTAAAGTTCATTTCAATTGTTCCAGCAATCTGGATTAAATCACATTCGAGAAGCCGTTTCCCTGATATATTTTTTAAAATCCTTCGAGCAAAATCCTTCTTCCAATAAAAGAAAAGCTTGAAAAAAATTAAGCATTTTAAGTGAAATATTAATACATGAAAAACACGTAGGCCTATAAAGCAAGGACATACAGTACAAAGACACGAAAAATTGATTAAACAAATAAATAGTGGCAATACTTTTTGAAATAATCCTATACAGTAAAATTCCAGGGAGGAACTTGACTACGAAATAGATATCTGACGAAACGGAATTCGAAAAAAAAAAGAATGGCTTTCCATTCCACTGTGAAAATTCATCAAGCTGGGACCAGTGGTTTATGTGTTTTTACGTTTACAGCTTCTTTTTATTCTCTCGTTTACTCACTCCACTTATTCTCCGATATTCGCTACCAACCTTGCGAAAAAAAAAAAAAAAAAAAAAAAAAAAAA